GATCACGTGTCGTTCCCCCATAATCCCCCCTCCAAATGCATGCAACTCAGTTTCCATACTGTGTGAATCAGTCCTGATATAATTCAAGGTGGGCATTTCTCATTAGAATTGAAACTGGAGGTTGGGCACCTAATCTTAATCATTCCTAATCACATTCAGAAAGAGTGCAGCTTTGCATTGAGAGGAGACCCAGATTGCTAATAACACAATGAGCAAATAAAGAGTCCCCCAACTCAAGCTTGACTCCTGGTGATTTTATCAACATGACCATCTACATTTTTTTAGCATTAGCACAGAGGTAGTTTGCCATTGTCTCGTTCTGGGAAGATTTTTTCCATTCCAGTCTTGCTTACAGATTTAGGATTTGACTATTCCAGCAGCTTTGGGGGTTGATACGTCATAATGTTGCTCCCTCTCACACTGGAATTTATGGTTAATATAATTGATGTTCCTGATCTTTACATATGTTTATATGTTTTGCTTTTATTGTTGTGATTTGATTTACTTTATTTTAATCTGATTTACGATTGCAATGGCATATAAATCTAGTCAGATAAATCAAATCAAATCAAATCAAGTAGTGTCTTCAAGCAGCATAGAGATGCCCACTCATTTACCATTCCTCAAAGTTTCCTATTCTCCACCAAACATCCTTTTCTATCCATTAGAGGCCTGGCTGTTCCCCCAGGCGTTTAGGCTGGATGGTTAAGGGAACTCTGCTGCTTAATGTTATATTTTTACGAGTTGGCGTATGACACTGGATGTTTTTGTTAAATTCTTTTTTGTTTTTCACCACCCAGAGTCACTTTTGTGAGATGGACAGCCATAAAAATTGTATAAGGAAATAAATCCAGATATCAGGAAGTAATAACAAAAGCCAGCATGAACTGGACGAGTTCAAAGCACGTGGAACGGTAAGTGAAAAACAAATCCCAGAGGAAAGGGCAGAAAGCATTTGTGTAAGGCAGTGTCTGTAACTCTGTGTGCAATATGTCCTTTGGGCATAGGCATCGCATCTTTGATTCAGTGTAAGTAAGTTTAGGGGAAAAAAAGAGAGAGAGCGAGGCAAGGAAATGAACACAACATTTACCTGGGAGCATTCATTCATTTATTTCATGCATTTACTCTTGATTTGCAAGGGACATCAAATTTAGCATGTAAATGTGTACAATAACTGACCTCTCACAGCCCTCTTGGATGTAAAGTGAACATCTGAAATGCTTGTCTGATATCCTGTGGCTTTCTCCAGAATCTGTTTCATGAAATCTTGCACAGACCTTGTAGCAGAAAATCTTTTTTGAGGTTCACTTATCGGGCTATGTTATGGTTTATTTAACAGTGGTTTATTGAATAAACCCCAATGACCAGGTTTGCACAACTCACCAAGCTACAGCCAAACTAACTATATTTTGACTAAAATCACTTAAGATTAAGTGATTACAGTTACTGTATAAAATGCGTTCAGGATTCTTGATGTTGTACAAAAGATAAAATTTCCCTGGAATCAATCTGACTCTGGGGAATTTATGGGCATTGGCAAATTCTTTTCTTGCAATAATATGGAAGTGCGCTGCCAGATTGCTTCCTTCCAGATTTTTTAACCCAGTCTGGTTTAAAGCTCTGGTAGTCTCTCTTGGATTTCCATCCAAGTACTGATCCAGACCAAACCTGCTGCTCTTCCAAGCCCAGAGAAGGCTGTCCAGATGCTGTTCCCCACTGAGACCTACATCACCTAGGGTCTTAGAAAACCCATAGAAATGTCAAGGTTAGATGACACTTATGTATAAGTACCCACATCTTTGCTGCAAATTTCAGTGGGAACAAAATTCTGCCATACTGTAAAAGTAACTAGAAGTAGAAATTGATCTTGAGCTCACAGCATGATTGCAAATCCCCCCCTCTCTTCTCAACTGCTGTCAATCCTGATGCCTCCTTTCTCGGTTATCCCATTTATACAATTTTCCCCTTTCCCCTTTCCAAACCACCAATCGTCTCTTGTTCTTTCATATCAGTGCAACCACTGGGCCATTTGCCCCTCATGGCCTCCACACAGGGAGCAGATTTCTAGCTGACCCCCTCTCTGTTGCTTCACAGAGGCAACCAAATGGTTCCAAGGGCCATTTCCCCTCTGCCAGCTGGAGGAGAGATTTGGTATCCTCATGCGGGGAAAAATGCACCTGGTTGACCAGGATGCAACCAACCATTAGGCATCAGCTAACTAGTGGCCCCTCAAGAGAAGGAGAGGGAGTGATCCAGAGGCTGACAGAAAAAGACATAGCAAGAGACAGCCACCATACTGTGCTACAGCTGGTCCAGCTTGGCAAGAAGTGAAATATCATTTTTGCTTTGCATTAATGCCCAGAGTTCTGTGCTGCTATTTTCTCCCACAGGGATGGAAGGGGGGTTGAATCACTGCTTTTTGCTCTGTGTGCTTTTCTTCCTGCCACATCACCTCATTCTCTGAGATCAGCTGGCATCTAAAAGTGACACTGAGAATTATGTCCCTGCCATATAAAAGGGGGAACGTACCAAAATCTGGGTGATTCTTTTATTTCCATTAATGTGTTTAATGAATAAAATGCATTTGATTTTAAATATTTTTAAAATCTAATTTAATTTTCATCTTGGACTTTTCTAATCTTGGCTCTTAGCACACCCCTTAAGGCTAATGCAGTTCTGTTCAGAGCTCCAAAATTAAGGCATCTTGCTTGTGAGTGGGAACTGAAAGTACATTAATTTAAGTCACCAGTCATGATTCTTCCTTCGTGTGGAGTTGCTCTACATCTTTCTGGTATGAGTTCCTTGCATGTGTTTCCTTAATCTGGTTTTGTTCTGTTTTTTGAATTCTTCTAAGCAGTAATGACATCTCATGAAATGATTCCTCTGTGTGGAATCAGATCGATGGCATTATCATTCAAGTGTATATTCTTAAAACAGCTGTGGCCAAAAGCGTTCTTATGTCTGGAAACACAGGGCCAGTCCACACCACACCCATTAGCAACATCCATGAGCCCTAAAATGCCCATTTATTTCCTATTTGCTCCTCATTAATTTTTGACATTCAAATTACGAATAGATCACAGAATTCATATCAGGCTACAAATTAGAACTGAGTACAAAATAAAAAGGCTGGAAGATCCAAGTCATTTGGACACCAATGTTTTATTTAACTAGCAAATTAGTCTGGAAGGGGAAAGAAAAGCAAAAAAAAAAAGATAAAATAAAAGACTTCACACTTTTTTTTTCCTCATTGCCAAACTTGTCCCCCCCCCCGCCCCCCAGGAGCACTTTCCAAAGGCATTAGCCAAAGTTTTATTCCTGCTCCAGTTGAACATATCCTAGAAATTAGACTCCCCCCCAAACAGCAGTGGAAATCAACCTCATTTGGGTACCTCAATAAGAAAGTTCAACCATGCTTAGGGTATAATACAGTCAAGAGTTACATCCATTTATGATCCAGGGCATTAAGTGATTTCTGCATCTCATTCGTATACAAAGCAGAATTTCGCAAAGGCAACATGACTCATTGACATCTTTTTCATACATGCAAAGCAGATGCTCTGCTGGAGGGGCACATTATTATGGCAAAACATTTGGGTTTCCCTCCTTTTATACATTGACGCGCCATTCCTTACAGCCAAAACAGATATTACACAGCAGCCTTACCCAATAACTTCCCAATGTTTTTAAATCAAAGATCAGATATAAAAAGCTGCCAGCTCAATCTGAAGAGAGATGGGAACGTGGCTTCTAAAAACCTTTCTTACATGATAGTTTTTGCCACTTCCAATCTCTTTCTTGCTTCCGGTTTGTCCATATTTTGCCGTTGACTGGGGAAGCAATTCGGAAGTGGCCATCTTAACCACATGCCTAGGTACGCCTTCTCCATATAAACAGATAAGCAAATCCCTCTGAATGACGTTTATGTTTTAAAAAGCAAGAGACCTAGTTCTGCCATTTATCAACCGGGTTAGCCCTTAGGTTCCATCACCTGCGGCAGCAAACAGAGAGTAATTCAAAGTAAATTGAATTGCATCACAACAAAGATGGGATCTTAAAACACCCAAAGGCATTAGAACATGTGTATCTCTCTTACTGCACGTCTAGGTCCTTGGGATTGTTGCGTGATGTCTGTTACAAGATGCAATGGTTTCCATCTTCCACATACAGCTCACATGCAGGAGAAGTTCAAAAGCATTGAAAGAGACAAGAATTCACATGCTTGAGTAAGGTAAATTTGGGGGCGTATTCCTTTGGCTCTCCTTTATGGCAGTGAACCCCAATTGTCCAAAGGCTCACCCTTTCCTTTGAAATGAGATTGCTGCGCAAGCCTCAATAGAAACTCAATCCCATCCGAGCAATCTGTTAGTTAGGTGGAAGGACCAGTCACTGATCAGGAAAACAATCATGTTTTAATGTTGAATCATTTTCAATGAGGAACGAAAACGGTGCCTCTGTACTTTATTTCAGGAGGAAACTGAAATTTTCTCCTGTCTCATTATTGTCTGTGTCAATGGCAAAGTGCATAAACGTTTGAAGATAAGGCCTTAAGCGAAAAAGAATGAAAATAAATAAAATACAGCTTTTTAATAAAAAGCTAAGTTTTACAAAGTGACAGTGTGCTGTGATGGAGTTAAAATATCTAGTGCTATGAAACCATCCACTGGGTTCTTCCATTTCTTAAGAAAAATTGGTCTTGACACTGCCTTTTGCTTTCTTCCTTTTAAAGAGCCTACAGGGCAGTAACTGAATGTCTTCCTTTTAACATACACAGATTGGCTACTAAAACAGATTTTTTTTCCCCTTGTTAAACCACAGAGCAGTATCTATTGAAAGCAAAAGGCATCAAATCCTCATTTCATTCTCTTCATTTTAATGTCTTTGAGTTGGGATCAACAGAATGCTGAGGGTATCTATTGACCTTGTTGCTTGACAAAATTTTCTTTCTTGTTTGGCAAAAAAATCCAGCTGGGAGTCAATAAAATCCATTACAGATAGTGTCACGGTTGCTTTATGACTACGACGCAGGCCCCAGCTCTTCCAATATTTAGAGATGCCATCTGCAGAGAGGAAATAAATAATAAGTTTAAGTTCCAAATTAAAGATGAAATGCTAATAGTTCGTGGTACTGAGGAGTTAAAATGGACAACTAATAATTCATGAACTTGGTAAACTTGAGAAAATATTAGCAAAATTCGTACACAGTATTCAAAGAGAAATCCCTGATATTCCCGGAATGCCGGGATTGCCGTGTGGATACTGAATCATAACAAGCTACTTTAAACCCACCAGTCCTCCCTCCTTCCCTTCCCTTCCCTTCCCTTCCCTTCCCTTCCCTTCCCTTCCCTTCCCTTCCCTTCCCTTCCCT